CTGCGCACTCGGCGCCGCGCGCGGGCACTTCCGGCCCGTCCCCAAGGCGGGCTCCCGCGAGGGCTTCCGCTCCGGAAGGCGCCGGCGGAGGCTCCGACTGCAACCTGCCCTCGCGGCGCTTCAGTTCCGACTGGTCCGGGGGAGCGAGAACCGCGACGGCCCACAATCCCACAATCGCGCGCTGGAGGGCGGAGGTGGCCGCGGGGCGCCGCCGGCGTGCGGCCAGCACGAGTTGCGCGGACGCCCGGCGTTGAGCTGCCCACCGGAGGCCTGAGCAGAGGACCCGAGCGGCCCCGCCCTCGGCCCGTCCCCCGGCCTCCCGACCGACTCTCTCGAGTTCGGATAATGGATGCGGGACTACTCCGAGACAAACCAGCCCCGGTAGTACTCAGCTGGCAAGCAAAATTCAGAGTAATCCCAGCACCACTCGGGACGCTGAGGCAGGAGGATCGCTGAGAGTTCGAGGCCAGCCTGGGCTGCATGTTGAGTCCGAGACCAGGCTGAAAAAAGGGGGGCGGGCGGGGAGATGGCTCAGTAGAATAAGCGCTTCCCTGGTAAGTGCCTGAGTTCAATCCCCGGCTCCGGGGGGGGGGGGGAATCAGATTGAAGCTTTAATTTTTGCCCGAAAAGCGAAGCCGTTGTGTGGAGGATTGCTGTTGGCCGAGCTCGCACTGCTGCCCCGCAGGACACTGACCCGTGCTTCCCGTCTGGAGCGGAAAGGCTTCGTGGCCAGAATGGCGAATCCCGCCGTGGCACCGCCTGGGGCTGTGTCGCGCCCCCGGAGGAACTGCCCAAGAATCCAAACAGGAAGGAGGCCTTGCGAATCTCCCAGGAGGACCCACTTCTGCCCCAGCGGTCGGGAAGCTGAGGCGTGATCAAGCCCAGCGAGGCAGGGCTCCGATGCGTTCCTGGTGATGAGTACGTGCGTTTGTCAGATTAGCAGAGCGGGCCGGCCACATAATTCCTCAGCGGATTAAAGCGCTTGTTGAGGCAGACGCAGACCCCAGGACTTCGACCCGGCCCGCCCCTGGGGCGCGCCTGTAAGAAACAGGAGGACCACCACGAGTCCGATCCAAGAGTGGAACCCTGTAGACGCTGTCCTAAGTGCAAAAAAAAAAAAAAAGATCAGAGTGAATGACAGCTCACCTGCAGCCGCACTGCCGAAGCCAGCACCCCACACCGGCACTTTATGTAGAGCTGGAGGCAAAACGCAAAAAGCCAAAAAACAAACGAACAAGTCCATGGGTGTTTCACATCCTGTCCGCTTCTGATCAGGAGTTCGGGGGTCTCGGCAGGCCCTCAGCTGCAGTGGGTGGAGGACCATCCTGCTGCACACAGCTGAACTGGCGGGGGCCCACCAGCTAGCAAACAGTCGCTGCTACAGGCTGGCGTTTGTGCGGCTGCTTTATGCCACCAATGCTCGTGTTTGACAGCCTGCTGCTCCCCGGGCGGCACAGCTTTCTCCAGTAAAGAGTTTTGGCACAAAGGGGCAGGATGGTGCCCCCTGCACTGCAGTTTGCAACCTCGGTGTCCCGAGTCCTTCACCGGACAAGGCTGCAGGTAGTTAGGGAGAATCGATTCATGATAGCCAGGTGCAGTGAAACACATCCGTAATCCCAGCCCTCAGGAAGGCTGAGGTATAAGGACCACCAGCTCCAGCCCAGTTAAATTTAACAATTTAACAAGACCACCTCAATGTCTGGGAAACTCCGAGGACAGAGGGCTAAGTCCATGAAGTGTGGATGGCCCGATGATCCGCAGCAGGGACCCTGTCAACTGTTGGCGCTGCCCAGACGGTGTGCCGGGGATCAAAGCAGAGCTCATGCCGCGTGGGATCCAGGTGGAAGCGTGGCCGTACGAAGCCTCTGCCTGACCCTGTGCGCACTGTGGAACCCAGAGATGAGATCCCGCCCGCCACTCCCATCTCAGAGCAGAAGGGTGGGACACCAGAGCTGCCTGCTGTGCCCCAGCC